AAGATTGACAGCCTTGGAGACCCTGTGGGCAGTTCCACTCTGTCCTCTAGGGGCGCTGTGGGTCAGAATGGACTCCAGGCAGTGGGTGTGGTTTGGGCTCTGCTTCTGTGAAGATTGACAGCCTTGGAGACCCTGTGGGCAGTTCCACTCTGTCCTCTAGGGACGCTATGGGTTGGCATTGACTGGACACAGGTGGGTTTGGTTGTTGCAGGCTTTGAGAGGGTGCACAGGCATAACCAGGTGCTGGTGGTCCAAGGACCTCGGGTCTCCTGCCAGGCCTGTTACCTTTGGGTTGGGGTGTGACTGTGACGTTGCCATGTGGAAGGAGCTCTGTTGTGAAGGCCATGCCTGCTGTGTGTCTTCACAGTTAAACCATCATGAGGGTGGTGATGTGGGAAACGGCCATACCTGGTGGCCATTCTGCTGTGACCTCCCTCTGGCAAGTGGTCATGGTTGTCCCCTTCCCCACATCAGACACAGGAGACTGACAAGCTCTCACTCACAGTCAGTATTGCTGTTACAGTCACCACACAGCAAACTACCCTCCCTCTGACACTTCCACCGTCTCCGGGGCTCTGGGGTCAGGTGTTTGCAGAGTCTCTTGGGGCCTCTGAGTTGTGGGTGGGCTGGCTTGGAGGGTCTGAGGCAGCTGCTGTCATGTGTGGGGGGCGCTGGATGGGGACGTCCCTGGGCTGGCGCAGCTGGGGTGTTGACAAGGCTGCTCCAACACGGCAGGCTGGGTCACTTGACCTCTTGGCCCCAGAAGTCTCACAGTGTCAGGCCTCCATGCATCTGTCTCTGGGGGGCAAAGGGGACCCAGCTGGGGCGCTGGCCTCTCAGCCCCGGAAGTCTCACAGCCTCAGGCTGCCATGGTCTGGCTCTAGCGCGTCACTCTCTGACGTGGGGTGGGAGCTGAGGGGACGGGGCGGGCTGGACTGTCCTTGGGGAGCGCAGTCCACTGTGGACAGCCAGGCAGAGCTGCCCGTGGAGACACTGTCCTTTCAGGGACACTAGTCCCCAGCATTCTCGTGGAGGGCACTGGCGCAGACAGGGGGAGCCGGGGTACAGGGCCGTGTCATCCCCCCCGCTGGGCCCCCGCTGGCCTTCCTCAGCGGTGAGGGCCCTGAGCCGCAGGCTGCAGACTCATCTCTGACACCCTGCCCCATGGATCTCACACTTGGGTAGGAACGGGGGTGTCACTGGGGTCCCCAAATTACCCAGCGATGTCCTCCAGGGCTGAGACTGGGTGAGGGAGGTGGGGGCGCTGAGTAGAAGTGCCCCCACCTCCGTCCTCCCCCAGCCCCCAGGCTGGCTGGAGCTTGGGCCTGTGTGGGCCTCGTCACACCCGTGGGCCCTCCAGTGCGGCCAGACGAGCCCATCTGCTGAGCCGCCCCCTCCGCCTGCCCCCGCGGTGAGCTTGGAAGCTGCTGGCCGGCATGGCGGGCGTGGCGGCCCCGGAACTCTGCGCCGACCTGCTGCGCGGTCATCTGACGTTTTCTCCGAGCAGCTGGCAGAGCCTTGAGTGTGCCGGCCGGGGCTTGCCTTCGCTGGCCTGGCTGACGCCCTTCAGGTTTGACAGGAGAGTGCCGTGGGGAGGGGGCGGTGCTGTCCGTGTGGCGGAGCCTGCCGGATGCGCCTGACCCCATCGCAGCGGCCTGTGGGGCTGGCCCTGCCACTCCGCCCCTGCAGGTGAGAGACCTGCTGTCCCCACAGGTGTGGCCCTGCCCGTCGGTCCCTGCTGGGGTCCCGGCCCGCAGGGGCAGTGGGACTCAGCTTCAGCCTGGCTTGTCTGAGGCCAAAGCCAACCCAGCCTCCATGCGTGAGCCCGCAGACTGACTGCAGAAGCGCTGGCCCAGAGCCCTCCAGGACGGGCCTCCGGGGGGAGAGGCTGGAGGGAGGCCCGGAATCATGGGCCTGGGGGCTTGGCCAGGAACCTGGGGCCAGCCCCTCAGTCCTTGGTGGCTGAGGGCTCCGTGCCTCCCGCCCCTGCCGCAGAGCCCCGTTCCCCACTGTGGTGTGGCTGCCTCGGGGACCGTATCTGCCCTGCGGCTCAGGCCCTCGGTGCATCGTTTGTGCATTGGCTCCCTGAGGTCGGATGGAGACCCCGCTCTCAGCGTGCAGTGTGTACAGTGTAGACACGGCCTCCTCAAGGCTGGGTGGGTACCCCACGCTTAATGCTGTGTATACAGTGTAGACATGGCCCTCCTTGAGGTTGGGTGAGTGCCCCACCCTCAGTGCTGTGTAGACGTGGCCTCCCCGAGGCCTGGCGGTGCCCTGCTCTCTCCCTGCTGTGTGTCCTGTGTAGACGTGGCCTCCTGGAGGCTGGGTGGGTGCCCCACACTCAGTGCCATATGTACAGTGTACACACAGCCCTCCCCATGGCCAGGTGTGTGGCCTGCTCCCTCTGCTGTGTGTACTGTGTGGACACGGCCTCCTGGAGGCTGGGCGGGTGCCCTGTGCTCAGAGCTGTGTGTGCGTTGTAGACGTGGCTTCCCTGTGGCCAGGCGTGGGGGTCCCTGCTCTCACCATGCTGGGCCTGGTGCACAGCCCTTCCTGTGGGGAGGGGGACGGGTGGCTGAGGCCGTGGGTCCATCTGCCCACCTGCAAACCCTGTGCTTTGTTTTCTCGTGTGTAGTTAATGGAGTTTGATTGGCAGTTGCTGTTATAGCCACTCAGAGGCTGGACTCTGTGAGGCCTAGAGCCATGTGCCATGTGGTGTTCCGGCGGGCAGGGGGCAGTGTGGAGACCACTGCCCTCTGAAAAGGCACCCTGACCCCAACGGGCAGCCATGTACACAAACCAGGGGGGGGCGATGTCACTGGCTGAAGGCCTGGGAGGTCACTTGGCTTCCCAGGGCATGGGCTTTGGTCCTGGCTCAGCCAGCCTCTCCATGTGGCCTCTCCATGTGTCAAGGACCCCTTAAGCCAGGTGGGGAGAGTCACAGCTCTCCAGTCGAGGCTCTGGGCACATCTGGTCTGGAGAAGGCAGGAGTGTGCTGTGCCCCCGACCGCTCCTGGTGCCCAGCGGTGGCTACCAGAGAAGCTGTGAGCTTGGTTTTCTCACGTGCACACTGGCCCAGTGAGAGTTGGCACCTTGCTGGAGCGCGTTCGGCGAGTGAACCGAGGCCGTCCCCGCTGTTAGACACGGAGAGTCTGGTCACTGAGGTGGGGAGCAGGGCCTTGGTTCCCACCTTTGCCAAGACTCCACACCTATTGAGGGTGGTGGGTTAGGAGTCCTGACAGGAAGAGTCGCTGATCTGGTTAGCCTGATGGTGGTGCTGAGGGCGGTGGGGCGCAGCTGAGGTGGGCAGGAGGCTGGCACCCAGAAGGGTTTCATACTCGGGTCTGTGCCCCAGCGTGGCTGCCTGCAGGGCACATGGGCGACAACTCCGGGAGGAGACGGAGCGGTGTGGCAGCCCCTTTGCCAGGTTCTCTGTGGGAATCATGACAGGGAGGGGTCAGCACCGGGTGTTTGTCCTCGGCTGGATTTGGGACGGGCACCCTGGGCCTGGGCGTTTTCTGAAGGACACCTGCGGGGGGTGTTTGTAGAGGCAGCGGACATGGGGAGATGACTCCAGGGGTGGGGCTGGACACACCACACCATATAACCTAGGAGGTAGGGTTAGTGCGCGTGAGACGCTTCTCAGGGTCCCGCTCCTGCTGTGGGGCAGCTGTGACCCCAGGCCGTGTCCCTGCCCACTGAGGTCTTCCCAGTCCGGCACGGAACTTTCCAGAAGGCCAATGGATGTGGTTTCAGATGGAATGCCACTTTCTTCTGCTTTATCGGCCACCTACAGACACTCTCATGGCTCCACGTCAGTGGGCATGGGGTTTCGGTGGCCTGAGGCCTGCCGTCTCTTGGCTGGTGGGTGGTGGGTGGTGGGAGTTGTGGGGTGGTGCGTGGGCTTGAGGCTGGCTGGCCTCTGAATCCCTGTGGCCTTGGGGCTGGGGACACTGACTCCTTCTCTGCACATCCATCCAGCTCAGCCCCCACAAGGAGAGCAGCCGTTCTCAGTTATTTTAAGGAGATTCCCATGGCAACGGGAGTGGGAGGCCCCTCGTCACACGCGCTGGTGGTGGAAGCCATCTCAGTGCCGGCCCCACTGTAGGGGTGCGGCTGCAGGGACCTTGCGCGCTGGTCCGGCCCCCCACCCCTTGCCCCTGCAGGGCCTCCGATGCTCAGGTGTAGCCCAGGCGCTCCCTAGCCCCCAGGCTCCTAGATATGGGTGGGGGCTCCCAGGGCCTTCAGGATCTGCCCCTGCCAGGTCCGTGTTCTGGTGGCTCCGGCATCCCAGGGAGGCCTGCACCCCCTGCTACATTTTTTGTTGTTGTTTTAATCTTTTTCTGAATACTTTTTTTTTTTTTAATTTTATTTTGGAAAAATATGTGTATGTAAGGAAAATTTACCATTTTAACTGTCTTCAAGTGTTCAGCTCAGTGACGTTGACGACAGTCACCATGTTGCGAATGTAATTCACTGCTGTCCACCCCCCAGCATCTGCTGTCCCCCCGCACAGAGCCCGTCAGCAGTTCTCCCTGCCCCCCAGCCCCCGGTCGCCTCTAACAAACGTTTGTCAGTTTGCACCTGACTGTTGCGGATGTTTCACTGACTGGGGTCCTACACTGTCCTGTGTCTGGCATATTTCACTCCGCATGGTGTCGTGCTGTGACAGTGTCAGGATGTTGTCCCCCACTGTGTGGATGGACCACATTGTGTCTCCCCATCACTGTTGGTGACACGGGGTGGTTTCTGTTCTGACTGAGGAATACTCCACCGTGTGGGTGGGGTGGGTCTTAGCGTGATAGGTGCTGTCCAGTTGGCGCTGACTCAGCGGCCCTGTGGACAACAGAGCGAGACACGGCCCGGTCCTGCGCCCGCCTCACAATCCTTGCTTCCAGTGCCTGGGCCCATCCCCATAGCCACCGTGTCGGTCCATCTTGTTGAGGGCCTTTCCCTTCTTCGCTGACCCTCCACCTCACCAAGCATGACATCCTTCTCCAGAGACTGGCCCCTTCTGACGATGTGACCAAAGTAGGTGAGAGAAGTCTGTCCATTCTCGCTTCCATGGAGCATTCTGGCTGCACTTCCTCCAGGACAGATTCATTAGTTCTTTTAGCAGTCCACGGTACTTTCAGCATTCTTCGTCAACACCACAACTCAAAAGCGTTGACTCTTCTTCAGTCTTCCTTATTCATTGTCCAGCTCTCACAGGCATATGACCAAACCAAAACCAAACGCACTGCCATCGAGTTGATTTTGACTCATAGCGACCTCCACTGGGTTTTCCAGGCAGTAAATCTTTATAGAAGTAGGTGCCCAGTCTTTCTTAAGCGGAGTGGCTGGTGGGTTTGAACCGCCAGCCTTCTGGTTAGCAGTCAGATGCCTTAACTGAAAATACCATGGCTTGGGTTAGGCGCACCTTAGTTTTCAAAGTGACATCTCTGCTCTTCAACACTTTAAAGAGGTCTTTTGCAACAGATTTGCCTACTGCAATACGACATCTGATTTCTTGACTGCTGATTCCATTGATGTTGATTGTGGATCCAAGTAAAGTGAAATCCCAGACAACTTGTCTTTTCTCCATTTATCATGATGTTGCATTTTGGTCCAGTTGTGAGGATTTTAGTTTTCTTTATGTTGAGGTGTGATCTATACTTGCACACTGTAGTTTTTAATCTTCATCAGTAAGTGCTTCAAGTCATCTTCACTTTCAGCAAGCAAGGCGGAATTGACTGCACATCGCAGGTTGTTAATGACTCTTCCTCCAATCCTGATGCCATGTTCTTCAAATAGTCCAGTTTCTTGGATTATTTGCTCAGTATACAAATTGAATAAGTATGGGGAAAGGATACATCCCTGACATACACCCTTCCCTATTTTAAACCATGCAGTATCCCCTTGTTCTATCTGAATGACAACTTGTTGGTCTATGTACAGGTTCCTCATGAGTACAATTAAGTGTTCTGGAATTCCTATTCATCTCAATGTTATCCATAATTTTTTATGATCTACACAATTGATTGCTTTTGCAGAGTCAATAAAACACAGATAAACATCTTTCTGGTATTCTTTGCTTTCGGCTAAGATCCATCTGATAGCAGCAATGATATCCCTCATCCCACATCCTCTTCTGAATCCAGCTTGTATTTCTTTAAGTTCCCTGTCAATGTACTGCATTTTTTTTTTTTTTAA